AGCTCATCTGTGTTGGTAGAATACATAGTTAAAGATGCACTCCTGACGTCATCACGTTTCCGACTTCCGGAAAGTCAGCGATTGCATCACAAATCTGACGAAGGTTGACGGGATCAGCCGAAAATTTATGGTGAGTTCTCCTTATTGTGTTGGAACAAGTCAAACTCTTTAACTAGACATAATACTTGATAATGGTAATGATCAGTTTATGGTGTAGAAGCAACCATGAAAATAGCAAATATAAAAGTCTTATGAAAAAATCAGGACTTACAATAAGTAAAAATGATGAGATTGTGATCATTTTTGAAGTTTGTTTATTCACGTGAAGCTCTCAAATTGACCTGCAGGCCGCTTTTCAGTGAGGTCACCAGGGAAGAGGCAAGGGTCAAACAAAATATATTCCAAAGTTCAGTTTACGTCGATGAAGGTTAGACATCCAGGTAAAACGATACGCCAAAAAGCAGTTACTCAAGCAACTGGATATGGTTTTGGAAACGGTCAGGCGTTTCAAGTAGTATCCACTAGCTTTCGTCGGTGACTGAGAGACCAGAGGAGAAATACAGGAGAAAGTTCAGTTTAAGTTGAATGTATTGGGCAACTGTCTGTTGTTCAAGTCAGCTTCCTCCTTAGCTTGGGTAGCAGAAAGGAATTCAGGAAAGCCTTCCGGTGAGTTTTTCCACCTGCACTGCCGACTGTATCCATACCAAACACTGCGCAAGTCTCTCCACTTACACACTGTTTATCCACACAGTCCTGACCAAGTCCCAGCCAAAGATTACTGTTTTTTCTCTCTGCTCGAATGCATTTCTGCACTCCAACCAAAAACACACCCGTTTGAGTGTCTGTATCTGTATAGCCGGTATAGCCGCCTTTTGGCGTAACACACCAGCTTTGCAGGCACGCAGCGCGGCGGCAGCTGGCTATATTCTGGTGATTTTCCTACTCAAAATAACAGACGTGTAACATGTGGAAAGAGTGTTTTCTAAATCTTATATTGAAAGTTTGTCCGTGTTGGTATAGAAGTCATTATGAGGAAAGTTTTGACTGTAATTTCCAACACAAGAAATTAACCAACTCTGCTGGAGATGCAGTGAAAATGCAAACATCAAACCTATGCAAATATTTTACACTTTACAGTAAACATACATCGGGTCAAGAGTAAGTGCTTCTGTGATACTGTAAATGCATTTATCTTTGCTGTGTTTCTATTCTGTAGTAGGAAGGAAAAGGATCTTTTGCATTGCTTGTTGAAGATGGTTGAAACAATTTTGTAGTACAGTAGTATTAGTTACAAAGAGGTCAAAGCGAAAATCACGAAAACAAAACTGCCACAAACATTCCAAGACCTACAGTGTTCTTGGTCGAACAAGGAGGCACCTCAATCTGGCATGACCTTGACATGACCTTGAGGGAGTCTACTCCTTCCTTTTCTTAAGGTTCTGCGCAGCTGCAGCTGACACAATGGCCAGGTGGGTATGCTAACCTTGACCTTCTACATAACACACTGACACATTTACAACTTACTCCTGTTGATTCAGCTTTGGGAACAGTTTGGTACAGTTTGAATGAAACAATGGAGACTGTTTTTAACAACAGAGCATGGAAAATTTGTGGTCAACCGCAACATAACAAGCTGTGAAAGAATTCTTTCTGAGGGGGGAGCATGTGATACTCAAAAGTCAAGATAACGTAACAAAAATTTGCCTATCTCTATCATCGATAAAGACACGATTTATTTCACTTCATTACCCCAGAACTATCGTAGACTGGAACTCGTTGCCACCAAGCACAGTTGGGGCATCATCACTAGAAAGCTTGAATAACTCCTGCAATTGAATGTGCAAATATTGAGTGTAACAAGTCGTTCGGTGTGATATAGCTAGCTGCCGCCGCGCCGCGTGCCTGCGAAGCTGGTGTGTTACGCCGAAGGGCGGTTATGCCAGCTATACAGATACAGAAGCTGGAGTGTTACGCTGAAGGGCGGTTATACCGGCTATACACAGATACAGAAGCTGGTGTGTTATGCAGAAGGGCAGTTATACCGGCTATACAAATACAGAAGCTGGTGTGTCACGCCGAAAGGCGGTTATACTGGCTATACAGATACAGAAGCTGGTGTGTCACGCCGAAAGGCGGTTATACTGGCTATACAGATACAGAAGCTGGTGTGTTACGCCAAAAGCCTGTTATACCGGCTATACAGATGCAGATACACTAGAGAAAGTGTACATAACTAAGTTAGTCAGATATGATTTGGCTTCAGGACTCCTACATGTAAGATAAAACTTCCGCTTGCAGCTTTGAGACAGGTTCAACAACCCTTGGACAAAAGCCAGCACTGAAACATGACCGGGCTGGAAATTCATTTTTGAGGATTGGCGAATAACTTAGAAGTCTAGGTGCACAGAGAAAAAAATTGCTTGAAATTAAGTACAATGTCACCAAAACATGCCAAAACAGTTTCTACCATAAAGTCTAGCTTCAGAAAATTGCAATGCACCCAAATTTCAAAGCCAAGTTTAAAATTTTGAACAAGCAATACAACAAAGGACTTAGTATTTTTCTGACTCTTATAATATATGTCAGCAGCATACCAGTGCTGTATACCAGTGTACAATAGTACCTTTACGTACATAACCCTACATGAATATCTAGATGTATCCGCACTGTAAAAAAAATTAGATGCAGAGCTCCAATGTTGAGTACTGTACACATAAGTACATATTATGCACCAAGCATTTTGAGACCTGGTAAAGCTTTTTACAACACTTAGACCAAAACCGAGCAGTGAGGAAATGTCGCGAGTTTTCCGTGACACTTTACCTGGCCCATGTCACCAGCCTGCTTTCTCGTGTTAGACTTTTAAACTCCCAACACAAATATATCAACACTGGGTCATTCATTCACCTGTCAGAAATCCATGGGTCGATTGCCATGAATAGTACCAAGTACTCAGAACTTATTGCCTTTCTGTGCTTGCATAAACAAATACTAGCCGGGCTGGAGGGATTAAATTCACACAGGAAGAGAAACCATCCATGAGAAGTATAACTAACGGTGGCATGGCCTCCTGTGATGCAAGCGCTAACCCGTCAAAGTAAAGAGGTGGATTAACGAACAAATAAGTCCTGGCGAAAGGCAACTATTATCAAAGACAAAGAAATATGATAGCTAGGGTCCATATAGGAGCATGACTGGATTCAAGAATCAACTGCTCTTTTTACAACCTTCTAATAACCCGAGAAATCAATTAAAAGAAAACCTTCAATCAAAAATTAGAAGTAGAACACTACACCACCTCCTTGTGATGTAATTCCCATCTTGTCAGTTTTAAAATTTAGGGAATTCTTCTTAAAATCGTGAAAATGTGTGTTTTTCACCAAGTTTGACCCCTTCTACTAACCAGTTCTAAGATTGCAGCACCACTTTGTTCTAAATTTCTAGGGAGAACTCTGAATCGAACTTGACCTCTCAAATCGTCATTCCTGGTTTCGAGTCTGTTTAAGAGGTTGACCTTGCCAATATTGGATAAACTGTTCAAGGCCAAAGAGCTTTCTTGTTTTCTGATGCTCCACCTAACCCTATGCTTACTCTGGAGTAAGTAATCATTGAGTTTTTTCCTGTGCCACAATATCCCAATGACAATCCACTTGGCGTAATGCTGATTTTCGTTTATTACATTTGCAAAACATTCAGTCGAGGAGGGTGTTGGCATTGTGGACATGGCATTTTGGAGGGACTAGAACTTAAAGTAGAGAGTTACTCGGTGTTGTACAAACATTGAGACAGGTTCGGTCTACACAAAGAACCCTTTGAGCAAGGTAGAAAGTGAAGATAAGAATCTGATGGAAACAAAATACACCAGACGATCTCTAACGGACTGAAGAAACTGAGCCTGCGTGCTTGCGCTGTAGCCTCTACCAGGCACCGCGGATCGCTGGAAAAATAGTAGAAACTGGCCGAAATAAAGGGATAGTATACCAGAGAAGATCCAGGGTCGCAAATTGGAGCTTCAAATTATGGCCCTGGATCTATCCCTTTATTTCGGCCAATTTCTACTGTTTTTCCAGCGATCCGCGGTGGCTGGTAGAGGCTACTTGCGCTGAGGAAAAGATTGGTTTCCCCTAGCGTGGTGCCAGGCAAAGCCACGCTAGCAAACTCCACGTGTGGTATGAAAACTACACAATAGCAACACCACAAATCACTGTCATACAAATGGAGAATTCACTTTTTTTAAACAACAACGCTGCAAGGACAATACCCAAAATTTGGGGCCATATCTTTGCAGGAATTTTCGTTTTGTTGGGCATGAAATTATGCTTGGATGTCTTATCCACGTTCTTTCATCAATCACAATAAACCTTGGGTCCCCGGGGAGGGCACTTCGCATAATTCCTGCAGGCCAGCGAAAAACCCAGCAACTCGCAAAATTAGTCTTGAAAAATCCCTGCAAAAACTCTCAAGATTGTCTTGTGGATGGTTAAGAATTAGTTTGTATGATCTTTGTTTATCAGATGCACCTATGAACGTAAGACAATCCTAAGGGCTTTTGAGTAAGATGGCAAATGATGTTTTCATAGATCAGCTTGGCGGTTTGATCAGAGGCAAACGGTGTATTCTTGATGAGTGTCCCAGCATTTGTGTCGAAGTATGTTGGTGTATTTGACCTCTCAACCCACAAACTTCCCACAAGAGCGGCTCAGCGCCCTCCCACAAATTCAACTCCTACCCGTTTCAGCCCGTACATGGAAGGGGGATCTGTTTAAGGGCAGGTTTAGCGGGGTTTTAGGGCGATATTGCCGGCGTTAGCGCGGCGCTGTGGTGTTTAGAAGGGCCGATGGAAGGCCGGAGAACGAACTGACAGTAGTTATGATGATGCGAGTCGATTTGGGCCCTTATAACCCTACGATCGCCCCAAATTTACCTCAGAAAACGGATTTGTTGTGTTGTAGAGTGTTTTGTGAGCGGTTGTGCGTGGAATAGAGGAGAGGAAAGCTTACCTGCGGCGTACAGAAGCAGCCCGACTCTGAGCCAAACGCGGACACAAGTCATGATGGCGATGCGCAAATCAACAACACAGATTTTCCCCGGGCACGGATCGGGTCCGCTCTTGCGATCGCGCTTCCCCGCAAAAATCCTGCGATTCCCACGGTCTCCGGCCCACGCAAGACGCCGAGTAGGTCTGTTTACAGCCGCCGGGGGTTTAGTGGAGCTCCTCGGCCCAGATTCGGCATGAAAACACGCAGTGAAGATGTCCAATATTTGGAAAATTTACAATTTGGGGCTGTCCAAAATGGCGGCTTGCCCTCTCTGCCACACACATTTACAAACAAAGGTCCCGGATGTGCACCCCCGCCGAACCGCCGCCGTAACGAGCCTCCTGATTGGTCAGCACCTTTCTCCTGACGTTGGCCATGGCAGAGGTCAACAAAATGAACGATTTTGACCTCTTTTTAGAACATTTCAAGTATTTCCACACTTTTTCTGTTTTTCGAGACCATTCAGATTGAATTTGCTAACTCTTTAAGCATCTGAACATTGAATTAAATGTTAATTGCTCCGATGAAACAATAAACTACTAGTAGTCATCAGAGCTTTGGAGGAAGGGCCCATAACATTTTATGATCCATATTCTATTACTCACAAATAGATCTTTCTATGCTTGTTGATGTTAAATTAAAGACACACAAAGAAACATCATTTTAATGAAACATTTTAATAGCCATTAAATTTAGCATATTTCTGACTTCAAGTTCACAAACTAGTTATATAGCTAGTATGACGTGGCTATTGACTGCGAGTGCAATTTGGTTTTGTAAAGTACATGTAAGTCAACTGAAAATTATGCAGGTATCTATGCTGAAACTAGTCAATATTATTTCAGCTGGTAACGTTGACACGGCGTTTAAACTTCGATGCATTTGTCTATTTGTTTGTTTGGTATTTCAAAAGAAACACATGTTGCGAATATCATTCAAAGCAAGGAGGTTGAATACAAAGTAGACAAAACAATAACGTTAGAACGAATCGTTACTGATAGAAATCGGTACTTTTATATTATCAGAAAAATAGTAAACTAACAATAAAAGTGAAGTTCCCATACTTCGTTAAGCTGTAGCCATGTTGTTTGTGGTCTAGTTAGTCTGACCGTTAAATTTACCGTTCAGAGTAACCAACGAACAGAAATAATTGTTACTGATAGACATCGGTTCTTTTGTATCATTAGAAAAGTAGTAAACTAACAACAACTATACGGCGTAAGGTTACCAAACTACAACAGCTATAAAGGTGCCATACTTCGTTAAGCTGAAGCAAGGAGGTTCAATACAAGATGTTTGTGGTCTAGTTAGTCTGACCGTTAAATTTCCCGTTCACACGCCAAGTTTCCATTAGCAGGGTATATTATTCGCGGTTTGGCAAACGCAAATGTTTTCCTTTCCACGCTACACTGTCGGTGCGAGACCGCCGGAAAATGTAGGCTTGGCTCCCGTCCAGCAGAGGTTTGGTGTTTTGGGGGTATTTTTGGCGTGTTTTTAGGCTTTTTTTTATCGGGGTTTCCTTTTTTGCACTGTAATTTTTTTTCACCTCACCCCCCAAAAAAATTAAAAAATTCAATTCCAGTAAAAAAAAGAAAAAATATGTAAGGTTGGCTTCCGTCCAGCAGAGGTTTGGGTTTTGGGTTTATTTTTGGCGTGTTTTTAGGCTTTTTTATTTGGGTTTCTTTTTTGCACTGTAATTTTTTACCCCCCACCCAATTAAAATAAAAAAATTC